TGAATCTAGGAGGGCTTCTGGCAGTCCCTGCCTCTCTGCTCCTCTCACATCGTGTCCTCAGCCAGGAGGCCTGGAACGGCTGCCGTCCCTTCACTGTCGGGCCAAGGACAAAGCCAGCAAAGGAGGGACGCAGAGCCCAGAGCCGTGCTGGGAAATGCCGCTGGGCCACTGGTTCACATCAGCCCTGGAGCCTGTGCTGCCTCTGGGATTTGTTTTCCACAGCACGTTCTTCCTCCCTGTTTCAGTTGTTTTCTGACCACAGCCAAAATTTAAGTTGAAGCCAAATGTTTTCCCCTGACACAAAGCTTTTCATTAAGACAGCAAGTGCAGCTGATCTGTTGTAATCCAGATTTTGTGTGGATATGGTTTTAAAATGTTTGCTTATCAGGGATTTAAAACGGTAATATAAATCAAAGTGTAGCTTTTAATGGATTCTTTGCAAGTCAAGTAGCAATTACTTGTAATGTTTTTTTGTTAATTTGCATTAGGATTATTAAGATTGGCATGATTGGAACTTCTAATAATGTACTCTATCTTTAAATGTTGTGTCCCCAACATAGCACACAGCTTGGAAGCTTGGAAGTATTGCAGCAATAGTGTGTGCTTATTAGAACTGGTTTATTTGGCAGATACATCTTGCAGGTAATATGGATAGTATTTAAAATGCTAAAGGAGCTGAAGCTGGTTTGGCTCAGTGGATAGAGCATTGGCCTGAGGACTGGGGGGTCCCAGGTTCGATTCCGGTCAGGGGCATGTGCCTTGGTTGAGGGTACATCCCCGGTGGGGGTTGTGCAAGAGGCAGCTGATCGATGATTCTCATCGATGTTTCTAACTCTCTTCCTCTCTGTAAAAAATCAATAAAATATATATTTTTTAAAATGCTAAAGGAAATAGTAAAACAATTTTTACTGCCTATAGAATAGGGAAAAAGATGAATTACCGTGGGATGCAGAGTAGGAGAAATAGTTTCTTGTAAGATAAAATGAGACCAGGAAAACCTAAAAGGCACAACTGTCTTTCTGTTCTGTTCCTGGATGAATTTATTCTAGAGCTTAAATTATATAGTTCTTATTATTTAAGACCCCTCTGATTATCATGCCTTTAATTTTTTGAGCTCTTTTTACACAGATCAACTCTTAATTTTTTGAGCTCTTTTTACACAGGTCAGCTCTTAATTACCATCCTGCCTAGAGGGGTTCAGACTCCCCTGTCATCCCTCCTCTCTATTACCCTTCCTCCCTTCCCCTCCCATCTCCCTTTCCCTCTCCCTCTCACCAAACTCAAAAACTGGATTGCTGCCCTAGTCAGTTTGGCTCAGTGGATAGAGCATCAGCCTGCAGACTGAAGGGTCCCAGGTTCAATTCTGGCTATGGGCACATGCCCAGGTTGCTGGCTTGATCCACAATGGGGGGTGTACAGGAGGCAGGCAATCATTGATTTTCTTTCATCATTGTTGTTTCTGTCTCTCCCTCTCCCTTCCTCTCTGAAATCAATAAAAGAATTATGTTGTGTGTGTTTTTTTTAAACTGGATTGCCAATTGCTTTTTCAGATGAATGTAAAGTCACATTAGATAAAAGTTTTGTTCAGCTTGGGTTTACATGAAGACCTCTAGAAATCAGCAAGACTCAATTCTTGTCTCCCTTACCAGTGTGTTCCTCCTCCAGAGTCCTCTGGGTCAGTAAATGTCCTGCCATTGGTCAAGTAGCTCTTGACAGAAACCTGGAAGTTATCCTCACTCTTTCTCCCTCGCCTCTCACATCAAACTCTCTATCCCTCTCCTGTCCTCTCTGTAAAAAAAAAAAAAAAAAAAAAATCGATAAAATCAATCAATCAATAAATAATAAACTCATCACAAAAATTGTTTTAAAAAAATCCTGAGTGCTATTGGCTCTACCCAAGTAGTGCATCAGACTGATTCACTTCTCTCCATTCCCACTGTCCCTATGACCACCTAATTGGATAACTGAATTGGCCATGGCCAGAAGACAGGATCAGTTAATGTGGACGTGGCCAATAGGGGCTCACCTTGCCCCTATGGATTCATTTCCATGGTTGTGAGTGAGGTACTCACCTCTGGATATAACCTGTGCTCTTCAGCCTCACCTTGCTCTAATTCCCCACATCCTCTCCCCTCCACACACACACTAGCAGCAGCCTTAGGCCTTCTTTCATTCCTGCAAATACCTAGCTCTCCACATATGCAGTCTTCGCTCATGCTGTTCACGGTGCCTGCTATGCTCTTTCTTCTCCACTGTGCTGATTATAGACTTAATGCTTCTCAGCTCCCAATTATTATTATTATCATCATCATCAACATCATCAACATCATCGTCGTCGTCGTCGTCGTCATCACCATCATCATCATCATCATCTGGCTTGTTTTATGAAAATCTATCTGTTCCTTTAAATTAATTTCCTTTGTCAGCAGACACCATGCTAAGCTTTCTCAGTAGAGGGAACTAGTGAGTCACCGCAGGAGGCAAAAGGTCTTCCTGGGTCTGGTTTCCTTTCTTGGCGGCTCCTGTACGTGGACAGCTCCTCTGGCATCAGGCTCCTTCCTGCACACAAGCAGCTTCCTGGCACCCCCTGGGCAATTGTGTACAGAGTGCCTCTTCACCTCAAACAGCTTTTCCCAGAACCCTAAAGATGCAGATTTCTGGCAAGTTCCAGAGGGTGGAGACCCAGCAAGTTCCACAGATATAGAGTGCAGGGACCTCCCTGCCATCTAGCCACCCACAGCCATGAGCTCTCTTCCCAAGGGGTCTGGATCTCTAGCTCAAGGGTATTCCTTATCTCTGCTATTCCTCTGTTACTTCTTACTAGGCAATCCATTGTGACTCCAGTCCCCTCCTCCCACCCCTCCGTCACGTATAGTTAATAATTCTTTTTATCAAATTTCCCTGTTTCAATTACACGTGGTTCCTCTCTCCTGTTTGGATTCCCAGACTGATACACACCCCCACTTACACCTGGCTAATTTTATTCATCCTTTAGGTGTTAATGTCATTTTCTCACATCTCCAATCATATCCCTCTCCTTTTTATTCATAACATCTTCCACAATTCTAAAATTACATATGAATTTGTGTGACATTATGTCTTTGCCTTGCCCCCTTGATAATAAGCTCTAGGAAGATAGTGATCATGTTTATTTACTGATATAATCCCAGTGCCTGTGATAGTGCCCAACCCAACAATAGTCATTAAATGAAAAGAGGGGTGAATCTTTAATGAGGTCTTATTATATGCAAGTTGCTGGTGGCAATTAAAAAAAAAAATAGAACTCAATTCCTGTTCATAGGAGGATGACAAATTTATATGAGAAAACAAGACCTACATAAAAAACTATAAAACGGTAAAAGGAAGTTTCCAAAAGAATGACATAAGCTATAAGTACTAGTAACACAGAGACAACCGAAAACTTTATTTTTAAAAGATTTTTTGTCTTCTAAACATCCTGAGAAGTTAATTTCTTCTTAGAAAATAGTCGCATTCTGTCCAGTTTCTTCATCTGGAAATGAGAGCTGTACTGTACACTCACAGGTCCCTGCCAGCTCTCTGAGGACAGGCACACACTTGAGCCTTCGGTTGAGCAATAATTCCCAGTGCCAAGTGTGTTTCCTGCTGAAAGCTTATCATTGTTTAACAAATCAGTAGAATTGTAAATTTTATTTAAAATATACAGTGAGGTTTGACATTTTGAGGTGTCAAATGCTCATTAATTTTGACTCCTTAGTCCACATTGTCATATAATGCAACTTTCCTGGCCTTCAGCTTCCTGATTAGAGTAATATATTGATAATATAATGTTGAGTTTTTATTCAATTAGTAAACATTTTCCTGGTACACATTCTGTCCCAGAATTAATACAGGATTCCTGTCCCCTATGTTTAGGGTCAATGGGAGGAGGAAACCGGTGTTAAAAACATCAGTTAGAAAGGCATTGTGGTAATTCACTTATAAACCACAATACACCATTCCCTTATTTTTAGTACAAATAAATAAAAACGCTACCTTCCATAAGAAATAAAGTAGAATGGAGATTTTTCAAGGTGTATGGTGTCAAACAGCAAAACGAAAAAAACATAAAGATTTGTTTGATCATAGGCTTGGAAACAGGAGATGCAAAGTGAAAGACTCGTTGACTAAGGGCTTTGAAACTCACAGTGGAGGGTGAACTTTGCACACAGTGGGCGCTTTCAATGTATAACAACGAATCTAAACGTATAACAATGAGTGTCTGCAAATGCAATTGAACGCGAGAGGGCTAAAGAACTTTGCATGTCAGCTAGCCAGTGCAGATCAGAAATGAAACATCCCCCGCTGCTAAAATGAAGATTTAGAAAAGCGACACTCAACCTCCCACTAGGGTTTGGAGCTCCTCACCCAAGTACCTCTGGGAGACTAGGATGCGCTACCAGGGGGCCATCGGGCTTTCCATTTGTGACCGGATTATGTTTTATTGCTTCGTGTTCAGTTTCTGTCTTATTAGGCATCCTCCTCACTGCCAGACCAACAGGTCCAGGCTTCCCTAGGGGCCCTGCTGAGTGCAGCTGCGGCTCAGGGTAGGGAGGCGTGAGCCAGGGACAGCGTACCACCTGCCCGCGCCCACCAGCCATCTGCTGCTGCCAACCTCCTCCCAGCACCCGGCGGCGGGGAGAGCTGGCTTCCCATTGGCTCAGGCTGGGGGCATGGACGCCTCCGATTGGCTTAGAGGAGGGCGGGGCGGAGGCGTGTCCCGACGGCACACCGGCCCCTGGAGCCCGGCCGCTCAGGATTCTGGGAGGGAGGAGAATTCCGAGGAGGAGGAGGAACTATCCCCGAACGACCTTCTCCCGCCCGAGTCTGCATCCCATCGGGGCCAGGGTCCCCTCCCATCCACCCAATCACCCACCCACCCACCCACCGGGCGGGCCCCGCCCCCGCGCCGCGCCGGCGCCCGGGATCACGTGACCGCTGCCGGCGCAGTCACGTGCCGGGCGCGCCCGCCTGTGGTGGCCATGGCGGCCGCGGGCTCCGGTGTGGCCAGGCGAGTGGAGGAGCTGGGGGACCTCGCTCAGGCCCACATCCAGCAGCTCAGCGAGGCCGCCGGCGAGGACGGTGAGGGGCGGCGGCGGAGGGAGGCGGGCGGGTGGGCAGCGCAGGGCGGGCTGCGGCCGTGGGCGCGGGGCTGCGGCCTGCGGGCGGCGGGCGGCGGCGCGGGCAGCGTCCGTCCCGCAGGACGCGCCTCGCCTTGGGCTAAGGCGTGGGCGTCGGGGCTGCGTGTTTGCATCCCGGTCAGATCGGTGCTGCTGGCCTGGCATTGGCTCGGGGCCCGGGGCCCTGGGCAGGGTCCGAGCACGGCGCCCAGGACGGTGCACCGGCTCAGGCGGTGTCAGCACCAGGCCCTGCGGGGCGCGCAGGAGGGAGCGAGGCCGGTGTCACTGACGCTTGTATTGCCTCGTTTTCAATGTCTGTCTCCTTGGGGATTCCAAGCGCAGCGGTAAACAGTCTCCCACGGAAGGGCATTGCATTGGCACCGTTCCCACGACTCTCACAAGCATCACCTCGGTTCTCACGAGCGCCCTGTCAGGATTGGAACACTTTTATTTTTTAAGGGAAGTTATGCTCCCAATTTGTTTGTTTTTTTATTTTTATTTTTAAAAAATATATTTTATTGACTTTTTACTGAGGAAGGGAGAGGGATAGAAACTCAGAAACATCGATGAGAGAGAAACATGGATCAGCTGGCTGCCTCCTGCACATTCCCCACCGGGGATGTGCCCGCAACCAAGGTACATGCCCTTGACCGGAATCGAACCCGTGACCCTTCAGTTCGCAGGCCGATGCTCTAGCCACTGAGTTAAGCTGATTTGGGCAGGATTAGAACACTTTAAACAACAGCGGTTTCCTTAAGAAAAAAAGAAAAAGAGAATTGCCTCCACTTCTCATATTAAGCCTAGCTCTTTTTCATGGCTTCTCAGTAGATTTTATGTATTTCTATTTGAGTCCTGAGCCTTTATTACAATACAGACTGGCTTTTAAATTCTTGTGGACTCACTGTCGTCGCACTCAGGAAATAGTGGGACATTGACCCCAGTGATTGAATAACTAGTTGGTAAATCTGTTGACTAGGGTCTATGATGAGATAGCTCTAGTTCTAGTGAAGATTATTTGCGGAATTATTATTTTTTTCTTAGCGGTGTGTTCTTCAAAATCCATAGAATACCCAGAAGCCAACTTAGAATTTCGGTGTGGTAAGTCAATTCCAGGATGCACATGAGTAGTTAGTTGATGGACAGTAGTGGCTTTTAACCTGCAACTATACCTAAGTTATTTCTAAATAAGCTATTTAGGAAGTTTTCAGTCTAGCTTTCCAGAATAAATTTCCATGATAAATTAGTTTCATTAGGATTAGGTATTATGTTATATTTGTTTTACACAAAATATTATAGCTATCATGCTCTTCTCCAAATGCCAAACATAATTTTATTTAATCATTTAAGATCCATAATTTTTTTTTTTGTTTAATAAGTAATCAACATGTTTTTATCTCTTACAGATCACTTTTTAATTCGGGCCTCTGCAGCTCTAGAAAAATTGAAACTCTTGTGTGGAGAAGAAAAAAAATGTTTAAATCCATCAAATCTATTAGAACTGTACACACAGGTACTAAGACATGTGGTTTCTGACATGTTATGGGGCAAATTGCTTAATTAGAAGATCAATTCCAATGTTCTAATAAAATCAGAATTTATTCTCTATTTCAAGTGTTTGATTTTGTTCAAAAGCTGTATGTACAAAGAATACAGACTTGAAACTTTGAGGCAATATGCAATGAAGTAAAGATTTGGTAGATGTGCATTGATAAGAAAAGTAAGGAATAAAGTCTTGCAGGTAACAGAATTGCTTCCCTTTATAGGTAAGTAAGCAAAACAGGACCTTGACCAGTTTCGAAGGTTTTAAAGGTTATTTGGAAGAAATGGAGGATTCTAAAGAGCCCCAGTTATTTTCCCCCCTGAAATTCTCCTTTCCTTAGAATTCTGAACATGACTCCCCCTGTTGTTACCATGCAAGTCTATAAGATTGTTCTGTTGCCCACTTTCCCTTTTTTTCTTTTGCTTTACTTTCAAATTCAGGCCTCTGTATGGAGACAAGATGTTTTTCTTGGTTTTCTCAAACACTGCTGAGGAAAGTTGACATTAAACATTATTTCATTACAGAGGCCTGATGCACGACATTCCTGCAAGAATAGGCCTTCCTTCCCCCGGCTGCTGGCACTGGCTTCCCTCTAGCACGTGGGACCTGGGCTTTCCTCACAGCCCAGGCTTTGTCTGGAAGGACGTCCGGTCTAATTAGCACATTACGCTTTTATTATTATAGATAGTAACTAACATTCCTACAACATCTTATAGTTTATAATAGAGTGATTCATATGCCCTTACTTGATCCTCAGGGATAATAGCGTGTTTATAGAAAGTAAAGTAATTGGTGGCTATAAAAATAGTGGCGGGGAAGTAAGTATAGCATAGGAAATATAGTCAACAATATTGTGATGACCATGTATGGTGCCGGTTGGGGCACTGGAAATATGTAAAGTTTATGGTTAATAACTAAGCTGAACACCCCAAACCTGTGGTCCGCAAACTGCGGCTCTGGCCCCTTGAGTGTGGCTCTTCCACCAAATACCACGGCCTGGGTGAGTCTATTTTGAAGAAGTGGCATTAGAAGAAGTTTAAGTTTAAAAAATTTGGCTCTCAAAAGAAATTTCAATCATTGTACTGTTGTTATTTGGCTCTGTGAACTAATGAGTTTGCCATCACTGCTCTAACAAACTGAGCTATCTGGCCAGGGCCTCAAATTTAAATAGTGCTCTCGGAAAATAAATGTCTAATAAAACATCTGTACTTATGTAAAGTTAAACTGTAAGAGTTATTCAGGTTGAAATCATTTACAGTGTTAATTTTCTCTTGTACATCATCAGGCTATTTTGGACATGACATATTTTGAGGAGAACAAGCTAGTAGATGAAGATTTCCCGGAAGACTCTTCACAGAAAGTAAAAGAGTTGATCACTTTTCTTTCAGAACCAGAAATTTTAGTTAAAGAAAATAATACGTACTCCAATGTAAGTTTTACACTCGTGAATGATGGTGAAGCTGCTAATTCTCACTGTATGGACTGCTGTTTAGAGTCTGTATTTTTTTTGAATATGTCTGTGTTTTAAATTAAGATTGAAGGAGGGATTATGAGAATTTAACTCTTCAGACCAATGTCACACCTAAAGTACGGTATTTTACTAAATATGTTTTAGAATATTTTCCTGATGTACTTGTATTGTAATTACAAGTACCTGATCATTTTCTAAGCAAATATTTGCTATTTCTGCTCCCTTTACTTTCACAGATACTGCATTTTCTTGAGGGTCCCGTAATTACATTACCACATCCCATGTCCTTTTACAGTCTTGTTCTTCTCCAACCTCTTCCCTTCCTCCCATTCTGGATACAGGCACCTAAGGATACCGCCTTAATCCCCTCACAGTCTCTATTCTTGCTTTACAGCCTGTTGTGTGCTTGTTACAGCAGCTCTATTTAGATGATTCCAAGATTTTTATCTTCAGCCATGGCTACTTTTTCAAGGAAATAATTTCTTATCTTTAACTGCTTGCTGCTTATCCCCCTTAGATATCTTTTGTGCTGTGTGTGTTTATGAGGGGATGCTATTATAGAAACAAATACTCCCAAATTTTAAATGACACAACACAGTAAAGGTTGGATTGAAATTGCTTTTGTGTATATCTTTCTATTATTTTATTCTAGCAATGGTAGAAATAGGTAAGGACTTGCTTTAAGAAACATGTAGTTCTAAAAGCTATCTTTTATCAGATTATTGAATATTTATATTTTATATACATTTGAATTTGCTACTAAAATATTTAAATCATATTTTCTAAAAATGTGAGTACTTATTTTAATTTTCATGAAGCATTAAATATCTGTATTTCTGATTGATTTAAAGTAAGGCATTCCTGTATAAATAGCTTAATGAAGAGCAAGTATTGTGAAATGAGTGTTTTTAATTTCTCAGTATTTTGAAATTTAACTTTGATTTTTTGCAGGCATCAAATTTCTCTTCTTAGCTATGTCTCTGTTGTGTTTCAGCACTGCGATTTACTTGGGGACGAACTCTTGGAATGTCTCTCTTGGCGACGAGGAGCCCTGCTTTATATGTATTGTCATTCTCTGACCAAAAGGAGAGAGTGGCTCACGAGAAAATCTGGTTTGCTTAAAGAGGTAAAAAGGCATTCCTCCTTTCTGATTGTTGACATTTATAGTTTCCTAAAAGCTATCTTTGATGTGGTGTAAAGACTATTGGAACCGAGTGGTCTTCATTCCACGTCTTTTGCTTACTAGCTGTGTAATTGTAAACAAGTTGGACTTACTGTGGAGATTAAATAAGATAACACGTGAAAGCTCTTTGCTTACTGGAAAGTTCTATAAGTTCATGATTTGTTGTTGATTTTTAAATATAAGGTAGTTAACATATATTAATTTTTAAGCATAGTTTTTGGCCTGAAGAAAACAAATGTGGTTATGAGCCTCTCTGTCAGCAGATCGGTCCTGAAGAACCCACGTGATCCTGCTGCTAGAAAACTGACTGATTTGGTTTGACTCTCAGGCCAAATCAATAAATCTCAAGATGGTCTTAGTATTGTGTCACTAGGGAGTCTAACTGGGATTGATTGTACATATGGTTCCTGGGGGCCTGAAAATGAGAGGTCGCCTTTTTGGGTGTAAAAGTTTGAGCACTCCATTTCTAAATTATAGTAAGTTCTTACATATTTTTAATAAATTGTTGAATATACTATTTTTTAAAAATATACTTATTTTTATTTATTTCAAAGAGGAAGGGGGAGAGAGAGAGAGAGATAGAAACGTCAATGATGAGAAGGAATCCATTAGCTGCCTCCTGCATGCTCCCTATTAGGGATTGAGCCTGCAACCTGGGCATGTGCCCATGACTGGAATTGAACCTTAGACCCTTCAGTCCGCAGGCCAGTGCTCTATCCACTGATCCAAACCAGTTAGGTCTGTTGAACACATCTTTATCCTTTTCTTCCTCTGAGAACATTTTTGACAAGTATGTTACTGAATGGTGTGTTCTTGGTTAATGATTTTGGTTTTTCTTCCATACTCATCACTGGAGCATTTTGAGGTGACACTTTAGAATATATTTTATAAAAGTTTGAGGTAATGGATCCTTAGACTATTGAAATGTAATAGCAATAAGACCTAGCTATTATTAGCCCATTTTTCTTGAGTAAAGAAGAGAAAAAATTAACATTTGAAGTTTCTATAGCTTTGTATATAATACTTTCAATTCTTTGGCTTTGACTTTCATTTAGTACCTTGTTGATGGAATCAGTTACTTGCTACAGATGCTAAATTATCGGTGTCCTACCCAATTAGATGAAGGAGTTTCTTTCCAAGACCTAGACACAGCTAAGTTACTGAGTGAAGGTAATGTGATCTCTTTTTGAAGTTTTTGTCTTTAAAGGTTTTTAAAAATTTAAGAAGTTTATCATATTTTTACTCTGATTTAAGTAAATTTCAAGTTACATCATAGACAAAAATAATAAAATGACTTCTAAAAATTCAGAGATCTTCTCATGTAGTATAGAAAAATATTGCTAACCTCTCCGTTTTGTCATTTTGGGAGCGTTATATATCATGTTACATTTTACATCCCGCCATAGCCCTGATCAGCAACTAGGTTTCACCACTTGTAACAGAAATTGGAAGTAACTTTGAAACAAGATAGAACTGGACTGCTCTTACACATAAAAAAGACCCAGAGCTGGTTATGTTGGCTTCCTGGTGTCATCAGGTTCCTGCGTTTTTCCTTCAACATCTTAAAAATCAGAGTTCTTCAGCTTCAGAGAGAGGCACTGTATATAGAATATAGTGTGGGTGGTACATCCCAGTGCTGTGCAGCATGCGTCCCTGTGAGGATACTGCTGGCGTCCTGGGTGTGCCTCGGCATGCTCCTGGAGTGCCTCCATCTCACCCGTTTCAGTCTACAGGGATGGCAAAAGGTGTTTCTTTCACCCAGGTCCACTCTTTTGGAGCATCAGTTTCCCCTGCATTTTACTGGCCAGAGTTGAATCACACGGATTCATGTAACTACAAGGGATCCTGGAAAATATAGTTCTTTTCTGGTCTATTGCCATCCCAAATAAAATTAAGTCACTTTACTAAGAAAGAAAGGAAGAATAAATGAATATTGGGTGGCAACTATTAGTTTCTGCCACGAGCATTTATGCACCAAAAAATGTTAAGAATTGGATATAGAGGATCATCTCAGTTTTAGACTGAGGTGCAGGAGGAAGAAGCACTTATTTTTACCATCTTTCTACAAATGGAGGAGCTGCAGCCCTGATAAACGATACACCTGCTCATAGTCATGTAGCTGGCAAGTGATGTACAAGTCACGTGGCTGGCAAGTGTAAACGTTCTTTTATACTTGATCTGAAATTTTGATGGGGAAAAGGAAACTTCTTAGAGAATATTCTATATTTTCATTTTATATATATATATTATTTTAATTCTACTTTGATAGTTGCTGTAGGCTTTTACTATTTAAAAAATTGCATAGAAAAAAACATGATATAAGTGTCATTAATAATACAATGGGTTGGTGGTATCCAAAAACTTTTAATTTCAGTTAATTCAGGCAAATAACCTGTCCTGGAGAAGTTCTATTATGAATACAAAGTGCTCCTTCAGTAGACATTTTGACAGACATGGGATGTTTTGATTTACTTATGGAAAGTACTTATTCCGAATAACTAGTGAACCGATTAGCTGCATTCAAAATGGCTTTTTAAAAATCTCTTTATGATCCATTTGCATGGATTAATTTAAAAGAAAAAGTAGGGTTGGCCACTAAAGCCTATTTAGAACCAAAGAAAGTGGCACAAGCCATCTATTTCCCTGCTCCCATTTGTAGAAATACTCTTGTGGCCTGAAACTTTTTCTTCAAAGCGCATCTGATACTGATGTCTACTCTTATTTTTAAAAATTTAATTTATAGGGGACACTGGTTAAAAAGATTATATGGGTTTCAGGTGCATAATTGTACAATACATCATCTGTAACCCTGTGTTGTGAGTTCATCACCTCAAGTCAAGTTCTGGTGTCTTCTCTTAGATCAGTGATTCTCAACCTTTCTAATGCCATGACCCTTTAATACAGCTCCTCATGTTGTGGTGGCCCCCAACCATAAAGTTATTTTCATTGCTGCTACTTTCATTGCCTGCTTTATGTTCAATCTTCCCTCCATTTCGATTTCTACCTCCTTTCCTCCACCAATTTTTTTAAAGCCTTTTTTATACCACTGATGACCACCCCATTAATTTTAGGAATAATTAAGCAAAGTGTAGAATTACAGAAATAAAAAGGCTATGCATCCAGTGAAATGCTGAATCTAATACAAAATATAATTCTGAATAACATCTAATGCTGCTTCAGCTTTTTCCCTGAGGTTTATGGTATTTTTAGCATGAAGGAATAAAGTGAAAAGAAATGATTATATGTAATATGTATTGTACTTATTAAGTGAATATTGGTTTATACACAGAAAGTGTAACATAGTATTATATTTTCATGAATGCAAGCCTCAGATTCTGCTCTTAAATGATCATTTCTTTTATTGATACAACAGTTTAATGAGTCAATTCTTCAGCTCAACCGTTCCTTCTCTTGCTACTGTTTATAAGCAGGATTTGAGGGGCAGTGAAAGGAATAGCTGTAGGAACAAATTCTCAGACTATGAAAAGCTTGCAAAGGAGTCAAAATGATAGAAACTGTAACAGTTTGGAAAGTTAAATTTTTCTTCTATTTTTGTGTCTAGTACCATCATAATCCTTTCTGATGAGTTATATTAATTAAGTGAACAACTGTGATTATGATCCTCATTTATTTGAGGTAGACTTTTCTGATCACACAAGTACCTGTACATTAGAATAAAATGTATTTTTAGTGCCTTTAAGAAGTTAATTAGTCATAGTTTATACTGTAGTCAGTTATTTATTCATATTTTTTATTCCAAGTGTATTCCTCTTTCTATCAGATTAATATACTTTGTGTGCCACAAATATTTAATTGTATAATTGCCTTATTTCATAATAAGATTGCTTTAATTTTTGATGAAAATCCTGCATTTATTTCCTTTTCCTGAGGACATAAAACATCTTAGATATAATTTAGCATCTTTGATAATTTAGAATCAAATGGCTTCTCGGGCTCATGTTTCTTCAAAATACCTTTTTTTATTTCTATATTTTTATTGATTTCAGAGAGGAAGGGAGGAGAGAGAGATCGAAACATCAATGATGCGAGAGAATCACTTATCAGCTCTCTTCTGCATGTCCCCTGCTGGGAATCAAACCTACAACCTGGGCATGTGCCCTTGACCAGAATTGAACCTGGGACCCTTCAGTCTGCAGGCTGATGCTTTATCCACTGAGCCAAACCAGCTAGAGCTAAAATACATTTTTATTGATTTCAGAGAGGAAGGGAGAGGGATAGAAAGATAGAAACATCGATGAGAGGAAATCATTGATTAGCTGCCTCCTGCATGCCCCCCACTAGGGATGGAGCCCGCAATCCAGACATGTACCCCAACCAGGAGTCAAATCGTGACCTCCTGGTTCATAGATTGACGCTCAGCCACTGAGCCATGATGGCTGGGCTCAGGGTCATGTTTATGCATGGTAACTTCTATAGACTTGTAGAAATGTAGGAGTTGTAGTGTACTTGACTGGAACTGTAATATTGATTCTAGAGTACATTCTAAATTAAAAGTTGTTTTCATGGTGGCCTTCAGGGAGACTCTGAATACTCTGAAGTTGTGTGTAGAATTTTGGGCATATGTTCTAGGAGAGGTTCCATTGATTAGATTCTCAAAAAGGCCTTAAAGAAGATTCCAAAAAGGCTAAGAACACACTGACCTAAGTGATCTGTTTTTAAAAATTTTCTGACAGTACTCTTTCCGCCCCCCCCCCCTCAGTGTGTGTGGGGGATGGGTTTTCTATTTATAGATAAAATTAAAATAGAGTGCCAATTAAATGAGGATATTTGGCTTTTCTAAATGAGAAGGAAAAATGATGATATAAAAGGAATTTATTATAGTTTTATTAATCAGTTTCTATTTTGAAGTTTTAAATTCTAATCTCTCAACCTGAATGACTTTCCTAGGAATATTCAGTGACATTCACTTGCTGGCTATGATGTACAGTGGAGAAATGTGTTACTGGGGATTGAAGCATTGTGCCGATCAACAGCCAGAAAACCAGGGTGTGGACACTGGTGTTACTGGAGCAAGCTACACTGCACACAGAGAGCCCTTGGATTTCCGAGAAGTAGGAGAAAAAATTTTGAATAAGTATGTATCTGTGTGCGAAGGACCCCTGAAAGAGCAAGAATGGAATACAACAAATGCAAAACAAATTTTAAACTTCTTCCAGCATCGCTCTAACTCATAAGTTTAGTCCTTTTCAAACAGAAAAGCAAAAAGACCCATGAAATGGAAATGTTCCAAAAAAGAAGACATATTGACACTAAGAATGTCACACTACATAAAGATGCCCAGCGTGGTTCCCTTTTTAAAATGCCATCACCATAGTCCATTATATATTCTTAACTCTGTGAAGGAACAGTTCTCTCATTTCTAAAACGGCATGTATGTTAACCTAACTCAGCCTGAACTATAGATGTCCTGTAACTAATATTAAGGAAGAATCTAATTTCGCTGTACAAAGATTTTTTTCTGTTCAGATTATTATTATTATAATTACTTTATATATAGAGAGAAATGTCAATATGAGAGAAAATCTATTGGTTGCCCCCAACCGGAGAGCAAGCCTGAACCTGGCTGGGTATATGCCCTGGCCGGGAATTGAACCCTCCACCTTTTGGTGTACAGGATGACGTGCCAACCGAGCTTCAGATTCCTTTTTTTATTGAGATAAATTGTAACATAAAATTGACCATTTTAACTATTTTTAGGTCTGTTTATCTTGAAATTTGCTGTGCTTCAAAAGTTGAAGTCAAGTCAACTTTTTTAAAAAATATATTTTGTTGATTTTTTACAGAGAGGGATAGAGAGTTAGAAACATTGATAAGAGAGAATTATCAATCAGCTGCGTCTTGCACACCCCCCACTGGAATGTGCCCGCAACCAGGGTACATGCCCTTGACCAGAATCGAACCCAGGACCCTTCAGTCTTCAGGCTGACGCTGTATCAACTGAGACAAATCGGTTTTGGCTCATCTCATTATTTTGGATGTAGTATGTATGCTACACATATAGAAATTGGCAAAATTACGATGAATATTCAGATTCCATTGCCAGAATAAGATAAATAATGAAAGACTTCACAAAAGAACTGTTGTTTAATTATTTTAACATGTACTACAAATAGCACTTAACTGTTTTATCCCTCCCATTAGATATTTTGTAAAAGGTTAAGATGATTTTTTTATCTTGTTTAAAGATTATGCAAGATTATCAGACGAGTGATAAGGATGAAAACCAAGTTAGGTTACTGTTAGCTCACATGCCTTTAGGGCACATCTTTTCCTATGGGTTGGCATTTCTGTCCATTTTTGTCTTTAATAGTGATAAAGGGTGAGTGATAAAGGCAGAGAACCTATCTGCTAAGTCTGTCTACCTCCACTCCAGGGCTTCATCACATTCCCCAGCTTACTCCATGGCCACACCTGAATGTCACCATCCTGAGTTTCTCTTTCTGCAATCTTAAATTTTAGTAATTGATGATAATTCTCATCTGCCTAGCTTTTCCACCTCTTTGTTTATTGACTTTTTTCTCCTTTACTTACTTCACAGCCTCCCCCTCTTGACTGCCTTTTCTCCTAAACTATCAGCCCCTTTCAGGTGTTCTCCCTTATCCAGCCTCTGCCTTGGGGGAACCGAATGATGTGCTCACTACAGTCCCTTCACATCCGTGTTCCCCTTGGCCTTTAACCTCATCTTTCTATGAGCCCTCAACATTGAATCCTGTCGTTCACCTTTTCTGGGAGCTGAGTTCCATGCAAAGTACATGCGGCCCTTCAAACTGGAACTACTTTTAAGTGTCTCAGCCTCAGCTTCAGAGGAGCCCTCAGTGTGAGCCTTGTGTCTGACCAGTGTGGCCCTCTCCCTGTCCCACTGAGGCTGGTCCAAACCATCACGTTTCCTCTGTCCCCTCCCCTAACAGATGGCTAGGTCCTGTCTTACAGAAAAAAGACTATTTACCAGCGTTGCCCGACTCATTCCCACCCCTCCTTTTAGAGGATAAGAGGAGCCTGCTCCCTCTTGAAGACCAATCTCCACCTGTCCTGCCTGCCATCTTCCCTGTTTCCCCTGCGGCTGCTCTCTGGGCCTATTCTTGCAGTGTTGGTCTTCACTAGAGCTCAGCATCTTTCTCTTCCCCCTTCTTTCCCCTTTCCTTTCTGTCTTCCTCCTCCTCTTACTGATTCTCCACACTCTTCTTACGTGATGCCCTTCAGAGCCTGGCTCTTGTTGCTCCTAGAATCTCGCCGTCCCATGTGATCACAGGAATCCACTGCTTAATTGTTGCTTTCCTTCTGATGGATGAACTGTGTATTTTAAGCATTTATCTTTATACATAATACTTAACACATCTTAGGCCATTGGTAAAATGTTTTGAATTAAGAGGCATGTGTCTTAAGGGCTGAGCCCTGCACAAAAGGGTGGCTGCTAGGATTCCACACTGCCATGCCCTCCACCTACACCAGTGTTGACAAGGCAAATCGCTCCTCAGAGGAGTCAAGTGTTATGAGAGTTTAAGCCAGAGAAAACCAGAGAACTTCCTCTTTAAAAGCTGGGAGCTTCCATTTTGCCTTCATAACCTTGTAGACCATGTGGGTCTCCCTGCTTTTGCAGTTATGAGGTGCTCTAGGGTGCTTTTTACTGAGTCTACCCCACACACAATTGGAGGATAATTTTCCATTCCCCACACAACTGAAGTTAATAACAGTTAATAACACTTTTTACTCGTGTATTACAAAAAAATCGATCACATTTTTATATGTTAAAGCCTGCTGAGTAAATTCTGTTTCATTTAGAATGAAGTCACTTCAAGATACCAAATATTCCACATTAGGCAAGTATGTAATTTACTCATCAACAATTTTTATGTGCCTTCCACATGCCATGTTTTGTCTGGCACTGAGGAGATAGAGCTTTGTAAAACACTCTCTTTCAAAGTTTGTATTCCTGTGAAGGAAGTTGACACTTCTTAAGAAATACATGGGTAGCATGTTAGGTGATGAGTGAGTGCTATGAAGAGGAAAGCAGGGTCAGGGGCTAGTGTGACTCGGAGAGGAGTGCTGTTCGTAGGGGGTTGGGAGGGCACCCCCAAGCACCTATTTAGCATTTGTGTCTTCAATTTCCACACTTTTGGTTAAATGCCTTGAACATTCAGTATATTATAAAGCTCTTCTTTCTGATGGAAGTTCTGATACTGCAATAAGAAGGCGGTCACTGTGTGAGACCTTGTCATTTTATTACATCTAGAAGCCTGTTACACGAAGATATGTGCAATAGGCTTTACTTCCCCTGGCTGCTGGCACTGGTTTTCCTCTGGCACCTGGGATCCAGGCCACAGCAGAGAAACCAAGCCTCTTCAGTCATCACTCTTCACCTACATATACAAATTAACCTGCCATATTTGTTGGGCTAATTTGCATACTCACTGCTGATTGGCTGGTGGGTATCGCAGAGGTATGGTCAATTTGCATATTTATTATTAGTATAGATAGGCTGCTTTTCAGTGTGGGCTTGACTGATGGATGAGGGATAACCTGAAGGCCTGGTGCATCTTTTATACTTAGGGTTTTTCCTTTGGGTTTTCTGATATTTACTAAAATTTAAACTCTGTTAATAGATTTTTCATAATCCTTATATTTCTGTAGTTCTTTCCCTATATGAATTTTCATATGTCAACTAGGCTTTGAAATTTAAAGGCCTGTCCACCTTGCTGCATTTATAGGGTTTCTGGCTACGGTGAATTGTTCCATGCTGATTAAGGTGCAAATCATGACTAAAGACTTTCCCTTATTCCTTTGTATACGATAGTGTGAGGTGGGAGCCATGGCTAAAACCCGACAATAACATTCCTTATTTTACAATCCACTGTGAATCCCGTGGTGTTCTTTAAAGTGGGAGATGTGTCTGAAGCATCCTCAGATTAATTTTAATGGCATTTTAAAAATGCATAGCTGGTTGATGTGAGTTTTAGTTTTCTTATCACTTCTCTCTCTACCTTTCAGGGTTCCTTTTTCTGGCTCACATAAGGATACCCCATCTGCCACAGAATCCAGGATTCTGTAGTTCTCTAGTATCACTTGTACTATTACTTTTTGAAGATCTAATTGTCTTTATTAACAGATTCATGAACTGGGGAATATTCCATCTAGGAACTAGAAGGGTGCTCCCTTTTTTTGGTATTATTTTTTTTTTAGCATAAGATATATTATAAAAGTATTACATTAGAACAATTTTAATGTATCTACAATTAAAGTATGTGTTGTATATTCATGCTTAATGTTCTTTGTTGTTATTGTTTGTTTCCTACTTCTAGTTAAAACTTCCAAGTAAAATGTTTTAGAGCATATGGATTTTTAAGAAAAAATTAAACCATGTTCCCCCATTTGTATCTTGTTCTTTGTTTTCTTCTATATCTGGGTATTGTATGAAAATGAAACTTTTACCATCTCAGTTTACTATTGAGCTCTGCATATTATTTTTTCTGGTCCTAATAACATTCAAACAAGGATATAAGTTCTGGTGCCAGAGGCCTGAGGTTGAATCCCAGTCCTGCCATTTCTTAGCTGTGTGACTACATAAATTAATTGGCCTTTCTATGCCTTAATATCTTATTTGACACCAGAATAATAATAGAACCCCACAGGTTACTGAAGATTAATGCTCAAGTGTCTAGCACATGGCAAGGGCTCAACGGTTCGTTATTACTATTACTGTTTTCCGTCATGTCTAGGTCAGTGTATCAGCATACTCTTCATTGTGCTGAAAACAATGGTACTCGTCAGCCTGAATAATTGAGTGACGAACATTCTGGCCAGGGAGCAGTCCCTCATAGCCATGTTCCCAGTTTGAATGGTGCTAGCTGTTCCAAATGGGATGTTGTAAGCAATTACTGGTTGATAGGGAGTTGGCACCAGATTATGTACAGCTCTATGTAACTATTACGTCCATTCTTAATGGGACTTGAAAACTATTACTCTATTGTCCAGCTGGTGTGGCTCTGTGGCTGAGCATCGACTTATGAACCAGGTCATGGTTTTATTCCTGTTCAGGACACTTGCCCAGGTTGTGAGCTTGATCCCCAGTGTGAGGTATGCAGGAGGCAACCAATCAATGTTGATGATGATGTTTCTCCCACTCATTCCTCTCAAATCAATAAAAATGAAAAAATTAATAAAACAATTTGGCTATTTTGGGGAGGAGGCATACTTTTCTTTTTGGATGGTATAAAAGATAATGCCATCGTGCTCTTTTTTGAATAATCCTAAAGATTTGAAATTATATGTTAATGATAACATTGGATTGACATGTTCCTTTAAGAACTTTTGAGCAGTGAATTGGAACAGATTAAGTGATGTAATCTGTTTGAAATTGATACATAGTACTGAGTAGTTGTGCCCTTCTTAACATAGAGACTATATCCAGTTCAGTATCATTATCTTGTAACTTGAGCAATTGTAACTATAAAGCTTTGTTTAAGGCTGCAAAAGGGAGTAAGGTGGACACGTTTTGAGAGAAGAAAACTAGTGGTATTCCAACCATACCCTATCTGGTTTATTCTAGCCGCATTTTGCTGCTCTTTAATGAGGTACATTCAGCAATTTTAAAATGCACTTACAATTCTATGTTGTTATTGAATCACCTGGCCTCCTCATTTTGGCATAAGGCCCTTGGTGATTGGGCTTCTGACCGCCTCTCTAGCATCAATTCATGTTAATCCCTCCAAAAAGCAAATGATAAATTGGGGACTGAAACACAACCAGCCCCAAACCCCACTAGGTACTAAGAAGGAAGCAATCGGTTAGAAATCCCCAGAGAGTGGACGCGGGCCATCTCTGGAGCAAGGAGTAGTCTCACCCCGGGGTAAAGTGGAAACAGGTTACATCCTGACAGGTAACCCCGTTATGGAGGGGGGAGAGGTTCTGTGGCCAGGGGAGAGGTTAGCAGAGTGCTCTTTGGGACGATTGAGCGATGTGATCTGTTTGAAACAGACTTACACATAGCGCTGAACCAGTGTTTGTGTCCCCAGGCTGAGGCTGAGGCTGAGGCCTGGAGGTGGGGGGCAGTGACTCTGCAGGAGCTTCCAGCTCTTCTCCACTCACTTTCCTTCTGGTCCGTGCAGGTGAGCAGGCTCCAGGCTGCGGGGGGTGGGGAGGGGGCGTGGCCAGGGCGGGGCGGGGCTTGATGGGCGGGGCGTCGCGTGACCCCGAGTCTCATCCGGGGCGGCGCGGCGGCCATGGCGGGAAGGGATCCCCGCAGCCGGTGCGGCTCCCCGCCGCCGCCGCACAGCGACTGGGGCCGCCTGGAGGCGGCCATCCTCAGCGGCTGGCGGAGCTTCTGGCAGTCGGTGGGCAAGGACCGGGCGCCCCGCGCCTCCCGCGAGGAGGCGGAGGAGGGGCCTGGCACCCTGACGCGGCTGCCGGTGAGCGAGGGGCGGCCGCGGGGACCCCGGGCTGGGACCCCGGGCCGAGACCCCCGGGCCGAGACTCCCGGGCCGAGACCCCCGGGCTGGGACTCCCGGGCCGAGACCCCCGGGCTGGGACCCCGGGCTGGGACCCCCGGGCTGAGATCCCCGGGCTGAGATCCCCGGGCTGGGACCCCCGGGCTGGGACCCCCGGGCTGAGATCCCCGGGCTGGGACCCCGGGCTGAGATCCCCGGGCTGAGATCCCCGGGCTGAGACCCCGGGCTGGGACCCCGGGCTGAGATCCCCGGGCTGAGATCCCCGGGCTGAGATCCCCGGGCTGGGACCCCGGGCTGAGATCCCCGGGCTGAGATCCCCGGGCTGAGATCCCCGGGCTGGGACCCCGGGCTGAGATCCCCGGGCTGGGACCTCGGGCTGAGATCCCCGGGCTGGGACCCCCGGGCTGGGACTCCCGGGATGGGACCCCCGGGCTGGGACCCCCGGGCTGAGATCCCCGGGCTGGGACCCCCGGGCTGGGACTCCCGGGATGGGACCCCCGGGCTGGGACCCCCGGGCTGAGATCCCCGGGCTGGGACCCCCGGGCTGGGACCCCCGGGCTGAGATCCCCGGGCTGGGACCCCGGGCTGAGATCCCCGGGCTGGGACCCCCGGGCTGGGACCCCGGGCTGAGATCCCCGGGCTGGGACCCCTGGCTGGGACCCCCGGGCCGGGAGGGGCGCCCCGTCCAGCCCCGGGAGGGAGCCGGGACTCCCCGCGGCCCGCCGTCTGCCCGGCCCTGCAGCCCCGGGAGCCACGGGGCCCGGCACGCCCCGGGTGACCGGCTCCCGGCGGGCGAAGGTCCCGGGCCCCGCCCTGGGAGCGCCCTCCCTGCCCGGCGCCGGCCGTGTCCGCAGGACAGACGGCCGGACCGGGGCGCCCCGCGGCGGGGAAGGCGAGGCGGGCGCCGGCCTGGAGCGCATCCCGCCGCGTCCGCCGCGTCCCGCCCGGCCCCGCGCCCTGGCCCCGCGGGTCCCCCACACCCGCTCCGGGCTGGCCGCGGCCTCCGATACGCTCCCCCGGGGAGGCCAGGCCCGCAGGCCGCAGCATCCCACGGCGTGTGTGGGTCCATTTGTCGGGGAGATGGAGACTTTCTTAGGGATTATTAAAATCCCTTCTCCTGTGGGCTGTTGACACCTCCCGCCGAGGTCCATCAGGAATTGAGAATGGCAGGCTCAGAATGTCCCCGTTACCAACCCCAAACCTCCTGGCACAGGTCCTTTGAAACGACTTAACAGATTTTTACAGAGGCACTCAGATGACAGGTTTGCCCATGGATGTGACCCAGAGATAAAATCAGAAGTTTGCTTGGGAAAGGTTTATTTTGAAGAATAAATCATTTCCCTGAGTAATCTATACCCAAATGGTGTGGCAGAATACCCATGGGAAGAAATGAAAGGAACTGTTATTTTGCTTGAAACCTGGTTGGTTTCAGGGAATCAGAGATTAAGAGTTCAGTTAGGGTTCTCTCCCCTCGGCAGGAAAAGAACGTCAGGGGGAAATGGTGATGGTCAGTTGATCTGTGGTTATCTAGTATAACAAGTCTTTGTGGATTTGTAATTTAGCCCGATAGATTTCGTTAAGACACTGTTCAGTTGACGTTAGGTTTCCTAGTATGTTGATGATTATTTTTCTCATTTATTATCAGGTAAATGATAATAAATCATTTCACCTGCTTGCCGCTTCCCTCTGTTCCAGATTGACGTGCAGCTCTATATTTTGTCGTTTCTCTCACCTCACGATCTGTGTCAGTTGGGAAGTACAAGTCACTACTGGAACGAGACTGTTCGAGATCCGATTCTGTGGAGGTATTTTCTGCTGCGGGACCTTCCTTCGTGGTCTTCCGTGGACTGGAAGTCTCTCCCCGATCTGGACATCTTAAAAAAGCCTGTATCTGAAGTCACAGGTGGTGCATTTTTTGACTACATGGCAGTGTAAGTATCTAGTTTTATGAATTAAAGAGAAGATATTACATTTGACTATATTATAAGTCAATAATCCCACCACTAATTATTTTCATAGATTATGGGTCTTAGTGTTCTTTTGTGAAAATTGGGGTCAAGTTAAATGACTTCATTTTGTTATTTCCCTGTGGTGCCTGACCAGAGTATTTGGGTAAACATACATAGTTCATATGGCAAGAAGTGAAAGTCATCTTCAAATTTTCATTATCTTTAGAACATTTGTCATTTTGTTCAATAGTAAATACTTTCCCTATCCAGATAGGAGGAATGGCCAGAGATCAGAAAGCAGTTCTTTGGCAAAGAGAAAACCATTTTCAAGGTTCTGGGCAATACGATTTTCTTACTAACCCAAAGCATTGACATTTTGGAATATAATGTAGATGAGAGAATTAATGTTACTGAGCAGCTGGTCCCACAGCCAACCTAGCATCAAGTGTATCTAATGCTGTGAGACCAAATCTTCCCGAGGGATAGTAATAATCATAGTAACTATCTTTTGTGAACAAATAAAATGATTTCTGACTCTTACAACCCCAGGTTGAATGTTATTCAAGTACCGCAGTTGGAAAAATTGAAGTTCAGTCTATAAATGGTTTATATAACTAATTAAAGTAGTAAGGCTTGGCCTGACCTGGTTAGCTTCAAATTTGATTTTTTTTTCTTCTTGAATTATAGGTTCCTAAACAAACATGATTATCTTATTAGCTTAGTAATTGTCTTAATCAGCTTGATTTAGTTAAAGGGCTTTAGGTTTTATTTTGATTGGGTAACTTCATTTTCATTTTCAATAACGTGGAATTGCTAGTATAGACATTTATAGCTATTAAAAGAGACTGAGTTGTTTTTATTTTTATGTGATTCTTAGTTTGCTAGGTTATCTGTAAGGAATATTTGAGCCTCCCTTTATACTTAACACTTACTGAACTGTTACATTTGCTGCTGTTAATAAGAGTACGTAAGAAACTTGGGGGTGTATTTTTTTTGGGGGGGGGTGTATATTTTTTCATCTATAGGAACATTTATGCTGACTGTCTTCAGTGCAGTGTTTCTCAATCTTGGTACTGTTGACATTTTGGACCAGATGTTCTGGGAACTGTCCATATTTTGAGGCACTTCTGGCTTTCACCCACTAGATGTCAGTAGAACCACCTCACTAACCCCCTGCAGTGATAACAGAAATGTCTCCAGATGTTGCCAAATGTTCCTTGGAGCTGGGGGGATGCGGGGGGAAGGGGGGAGGGAGTAGCAAAATCTCTCCCAGTTGATAATTTCTCTATGTGGTGAATTTTAACCATTGAAACAAGTGTTAGACCAAATGTTCCATGAGAGAATCTAAATGAAAATAAGTAATGATTCCTGCGGAAGATTTTCTCAGTTTCTGGACCACTAGTGCTCCCATAGGACCTCATGCTTTGTCCTGTCAGGGCACTTGGCATACATGTTATAATGGTATCTGTCCCCACTGCCTCCATGAGAATGGGAGCTATATAGTCATTGTATCCTTGTATCTAGCCAATTCTCAATAAATTATACATTGTTGAGTGAATAACTGGCTACGTTTTTTTTTCTTCCTGTATTAATTTTCCAATTGTGACAATTTCATACAGCTACAAAATGTGCTGTCCGTATACAAGAAGATCCTCGAAAGCTTGCCGTCCTATGTATGGAGCAGTGACCTCATTTTTCCATTCATTGATTATTCAGAATGAACCCCGATTTGCTATGTTTGGACCAGGTTTGGAAGAACTGAATACATCTTTGGTGTTGAGCTTGATGTCTTCTGAGGAACTTTGCCCAACAGCTGGTTTGCCTCAGAGGCAAATTGATGGTAATCTTCCCGTTAATCTACAGTACCTGATAAGTTAACGCTTTGAGTTTGACGCTAATGTGAATTAGAAAGAAATTCACTTCTTAATTAACTATTTAATGTGATGAAATATAGCAGTGATTTTTATCTGGTGTGATGTGAGAGTCACACTGGTGTGTCCGAAGAATTTTTAAAACATGCAATATCTGACTCTGTAGTCTGGGACTACACTGACCTCTTTTCCCTTAGGATGTCAAATAAAATAATGACAATAGCTAACATAATAATAGCCTCCTGGTGTGAATGAATCAAAATTATACCTATTTTTTGGTCAGATCAGCAAAAAATATATTTTTGGTTGCTACAGAATTTTAGTAATAAGTTTATATGTACCATGACATAAAAGAGGTTGAAAAATCACTGAAATATAGTAATTTGGTTAAAGAAAGCCCTCCAGGTATCAATAGACTGAAATAATGCACTTTTTAAAAGAAGTAAGCGTCCTCTTATTTCCTAAAGTTTATGCAATCCAGAATATAAGATTATGTGAAAATAAATTAAGTAGCCAAGGTGTTATATTTATACAATATTTACTATATTTTAAAAGAATATTAACAGCAAAAACCATTTGGCTCCTATCTGCTATGTGCAAAATACCTTCACATACTGTATATTGAAATTTCACAAATGCTTAATTTTAACCTCCCCCTTCTTTCTATGAAAAAGGAAACAAAAACAAATAAACTTAGTTGGTAAACAGAATATATAATAAATATCAATGACAATATAATCTAGCTTCACTTATTTATTGAGAGCATCTATTAGATGCTAAAGATGCAGAGATTTAAAACCATATCAAAATCTTTGTCCTGAAGATACTTGGTCTAGGATGGACAAAAAACAAATGCACTGGTGATTTGAATATGTTGCAATTAGTTCCTGGGTAGGAAATTTAGGGTCAAAAAGGCACCACATTGAATAAGAATGCCTCACATGGTCATTAAGATGAGTAGGAGTAGCAATCAAAAAAAGACAGGTAAAAATGTTCTAAGCAATTAGAACTACATTTCTAAAAGCACAACACCCTGGGTGTGTATGGCACATTTGAAGTAGCTCTGTGTGTGAATGTGAGAAGCTACTTGTGTGCCATGCTTAAGCATTTGGAAGCTCTTGAAGAATTTTAAGCAGAGGAGTGAGATGGTTGAGATTGCATTTAGGAAGCTCAATCTGCCTCCTAAGTGGAAAATTGATTAGGAGGGGTTATAAAGACATGGGGATGCATTAAGAAACCACTAATCCTATATAATAAAAGGCTAACATGCAAATTGTATCCTGGACCAGTTCAACTGGGAGTTTTACCAGGGGGTGAGGCCTGCTGACCAAATGCCCATGGCTTCTTCCCCTGGCCAGTCTGGCCCAATTGGCCTTGACCAGGTTGGGCCGGCCAGATCTTACCCATGTACATATTTGTGCACTGGGCCTCGAATATTGTGATAAAGGTATGAAGGATATAGAATTGACTGAATGTGTAGAGGTATATGTCTGCTATACCACTAAGTAAGCCATTTGTAGCTCCATTAAGGCAGGAATCTTGTCAGCTTTTTCTTAGCTTGATCTGAGTTATCAGGCATATAGTAGGCACTCAATATACATTTGATGCATGAATGAACAAGTGACTTTGTGGATTACTTTATGTATCCAGATCTCAAGAGCAAATTCTGGGCTAGAAATCAAGATTTGACAATCATGGAGTCCATGTGGACTTTGAAGTTTCTGAGGATGGAGAGGAAGATTGTGAACCAGGTGCTGGCATCTTCAGTGAATGTTTGGAGGAAGGGATTATCAAAAGGAAGTTTATAAATTACAAGGTCAAGGAAGGAGAGATGGGACTATAGCTGAATGCTGTATGTGTCTCAAAGAGACGGAGTTTTTCAAGAGGGTTGGTGAGTAATGGTTAAGACACAGCATTGGGGAGTAAAGAGAACATTGATCCGACCTCTTTACCCTGAGATGTGAGAGAATAAGCAAACTTGTTACATGAGTCCACAGGGAGAGAAGTGGCACTTAGGGGCAGGCTCATTTCAGGTAAAACCATGAGGTAGAAGGGACAGCTCAAGAAGAGGTTGGGGACATGGGGAAATTTGTTGATTATGAAATGGCAATTTCATTCTCAAGACAGCAGCTGGAGTGATTGTTTGAAAATTCCAGTTTAATTATGCCTCAAACCCTGAAAGATCAGGGAAGACTAGAAGGAGGTGTCATTGGCAAGGTGGTGCGTTCAGAACAGACTAGAGATCATATTGGGCTGAGGTTAGATGTATTGAGAGGGAAAACAAAGATCATGGTGGAATTCACTTCTGTGATTTCTGAGGTTGAGGTTGTGCACCAGGCCTAGTGACCAGAGGACTCAGGTCATTTGGCTTGGGATGCTTGCAGTGCCAGCCACCAAGATCTCTGTGTATATGGTGACATCAGCTTATTTGGACAACTATATTGGTTATAATGCAGGGATAGTAGAGACCAGATTATATTGTTTTCTTTGTCTGAAGGGAGTGGCTTTGAAGGGAAGAGATATAATTACTTAGGCATTTTTATTTTTTAGAGGGAGAGGAAGGGAGAAGGAGAAAGATAGAAACATTGATGATAGAGACACATTGATTAGCTGCTTCCTGCATGCTGCCTGCATGGGATAGAGTCCATAACCCCAATGTGTCCCCTGACCAGGAATTAAACCATGACCTCCTGGTTCATAGGTCGACACTCAATCACTGAGCCATACTAGTTAGATGCTAGGCATTTAAAGTAATCTCTCCACATGCTGTTGGAAGATTGATAGTAGAGGGCAAAAGTGGATGTCAGACACTGTTTAGAAGTGATTGCAGAAGTCCAAGTGAGAGATGCCTTTTCTAAGAAGCAAGAGGGGAAATGAGCCCCTGTGTGTAACCGCCAAAAGAAGGAAGAGGTTTAGAAAGAAGGACAAATAAAGCTGGATGATTCAGATATAAAGTTGAAAGAAGCTAGTACTGTTTAGCACCTGCTATCACGGTAAGCGCCCAGTCAGTTACCTGTGACTGACACTATACTTTCCATCCAGAAGACAAAACAGGCTGGGCGCTTAATGTGCTATTTACCAGTCAATCTAATAGTTTTACATATGTAGTCTTGTTTAATGCTAACAATAATCCTAAAAGGTATCATTTCTATACTTCTATAACAAAACTGTGGCTCACAAAAACATGGCTATATATAGCAAAGCCAAGATTCTAAATCAAGTCTAATTCCAAATGTTAGTATCTGCCATATGTTTTCAATTTTCTAAGTTCCCATTAATGACTCTCCATCAATTTAAAAACAGCTTTTTGTGGGGAGGGTGGAGCCATTTCATTGAATGTACTAGTATACATGGAGTGTAAGACAAACGAGAAACATAAAAATGTGAAAATGACTCTTAGTCTTGAGGATAAGTAGTAGGAGCTGTTATTATGCAACTGGTGCTGATATGATGATAAAGTTAATGAAGATAGTGATGATATGAAAAGGAATGCTATAAACCTAGCATTTCATTTTAAAAATATATATATATATATTGATTTCAGAGAGGAAGGAAGAGGAAGAGAGAGATAGAAACATCAATGATGAGAGAGAATCATGGGTTGGCTGCCTCCTGCACACTCCCTACTGGGGATCAAGCCTGTAACCCAGGCATGTGCCCTGACCAGGAATTGAACCAGGACCTCCTGGTTCATAGGTTGACGCTCAATCACTGAAGCACGCCAGCCTAGCGAGCCTAGCAGTTCTTTGTCTATGTTTTTATTACTAAGTAAATGGAAATTGCAAGCAGCATCTTTTTTAACATGAACATACCATTTTAATTCAAAGCTATATATAAGTTGTAGAATTTTTAAAATTCTGGATAATGTTTTTCAATTTGATCATTTGCTGTCTTTATTGATGACTTTTTTTTTTATAACTAATTTTTCCCTTTAGGTATTGGATCAGGGGTCAATTTTCAGTTGAGCAACCAACATAAGTTCAACATCCTGATATTATATTCAACTACCAGGTAAGGCTTCCTGCTTGGTGACTTAAGGACTGGAATATTTTAAGGGGATACAGCCTGTTAGTGTCTGATTATGTTTTATGTTTACATATTTTCTTAATAGAAAGGAAAGAGATAGAGCAAGAGAAGAGCAAACAAGTGCAGTTAACAAGATGTTCAGTTTACAGAATGAAGGGGATGATCAACAAGGAAGCCGGTATAGTGTCATTCCACAAATTCAGAAGGTGTGTGAAGTTGTTGATGGGTTCATCTATGTTGCAAATGCTGAAGCTCAGAAAAGTAAGCATTATCGTAAAATTCATCTTAAAAGCACTTGCTTTTCAAAGCAAATAAAAGATATTTTTTAGGTTTTACTGTGGCTTCTTAAGAGTATGATGGTTAATTTTATCTATGTGAGCCTATGACCATTATTTAACAGTGGGTTCTCAAACCTTGATGTGTATTAGGATCCCCTGGGGAGCTTGTTAAAACAACTGCCTGGTTCCTACCATTGTGGATTATGATTCATAGATTTGGATTGTGTCTTAAGATCTGTTTTTGTTGTTTGCTTGTTTTTAACAAGCACTTACAGAATTTTTATGCATACCAAAATTTAAAACTATAGTTATATGGCACTATTTATTGTATGCTTCTGCATTTTTTTGTTATTGCTGTGTGTGTGTGTGTGTGTTTGTTTTTGGCCCTATTCAAATAATTTATGCAGATAACTGAAAGTTTTTGCTTTTGTTTTTAATTGCCCAGATACAGAGATGTGTGGTATGGAATGTTTACTTTAAGTAGATTAGTTGAGAACACTATATATTCTGAATAATTGCCATTCATGATGATATATAGGTATGAAATAATAATATTTTTGGGCCAAAATCAATGTTGCAATTTCTCCCTCAAACCTCTGTGAATAAGGAAGGATATAAGTAATATAATGTATTGTTCTCACTCAGAACACAGTATCAGCAGCCCATTCCTTAAAGAATTTAAAGTTTATGGTGCACTAAAGTTAACAATAAAAATAAAAGCCAAGACAATCTTAACTACTAACTAGTTGGACTTGACCTACTGCATTAATGACTTGTCAGAGGAATTATGTCTATTTCCAGGAGTAAATCCTCTTTATCACAGTCTCTGTAGTCTCTACTGGCTCTATATAAAACATCTAGCATTAAATTAAAATTTTATAAGTTACACACAAAAAATAAAAATGAAATGACCCATTATCAAGAAATAAAGTAATCAGTGGAACCAGACTCACAGATTGCCTGGATGTTGTCACTCTCAGAAAGGGACATGATTAATATGTCAAAGGATTTAGTGGAAAGGTAAACAATATATGTAACAGGGATTTTCAGCAGAGAGTAAGAAGCTATTAAATGAGTAAAATGGGAATGATAAATACAGAAACCATGATAACAGGTAAATAGTTTCTTCAACTGACTTTTTTGGCAAACGAAACCTTTAGAAAACTGAAAGATAGCTCAGTTGAAATTATCCAAATTAAAACACAAAGAGGAAAAAGAGAAGGAGTGGGGAACAGAGCATAAGAGCTGGGAGAACCTATCAAAGGAGATTTAACTTTTCTTTCCTAAAAAGCTAGATAAAAATATTCTAGTTTCATGAGCCACATGACCTCTCATAGTTACTCAACACTACTGTTACAGTGCAAAAGTAGCCATAGACAATTTGTAAATTAATGGACATGGCTGTTTTCCAAAATAATTGTATTTATAAAGACAGATCCACAGGAATGTAATATGCCAATCCCTGGTCTAACATATATGTGTGTAATTGGAGTACGAAAACATGAAGGGAGTAAGGACAAGAATAAAGAAGATTTTGAACAGATAATGGCCTATATTTCAACATTACTGAAAGACTACAAGCCACAGATCCAAGATTCCCAGAGAACTGTAAACCTAATAAATGAAAAATACATCTAGAGATATCATAGCTAAATTGATAAAAACCAGAATATCTTGAAGGCAGCCAGAGCAGAAGGAAAGATACTTACAAAGGGCCATCGGTAAGGACAAAGACTCCTTGACAGAATTGCTGCAAGCTAGAATCTGTATAGCAAGCATGTCAAACTCGTGGCCCAGGGCCGCATGCCTCATTTATTTAGCCTGTGTTAGCCTTTGAGTTTGACATGCTTGCTATAGAATATTGCAAAGGGGAGGAAACCTTATGTCCATCAAAGAAATGTTTTAAAAATGAAGGCAAGATCAAGGCTTTTTAGACAAACAAAATCTGTGAAAATTTATTATTAACAAGATTTGCATTAGAAGAACTATTAAAGAACTCTCATTAGGCAAAAGAATATACTAGATAGAAAATTGCATCTACAAAAAGAAATAAAAAACCCTGGGATGAAAACAATAAAACTATATATAAATTTTTTTTCTAATTTTAAATTCCTAATAATTATGTAAAGGAAAATAGTAACAATGTATTGTGGGTATATGATATTTTTAAGTAAAATACTAACAGTACAACAGCATTAAAGGGAGGAAATGGAAATATACTATTGTAATATTCTATAAGTGAAATTGTATAATACTATTTAAATGTAGACAGTTATAAGTTAAGAATTACATTGTAAATCTTTGAGCAACCTTTAAAAAAAAAGTGTAACAGAGGTATCCTATCTAATAATGAGGGCCTATGCTAATTGACTGCCCCACCCTCAAAGATGGTGGAACCCACAGCCAATAAGGAGGGAATATGCTAATTGACTGCCATGCCCTCAAAGATGGTGGCACCCACAGCCACAAGATGGCAGCCTCTCAGTCCCATCAGCCCTGGCCCCTCCTTCTCGCGCTCCTGCTTCCGGAGTCCCCCAGTCCCCTCAGCCCCCCAGTCGTCCAGGGCCAGCCCAACGTGCAGGCAAGACTTGGATGGCAGCTACCAAGCTGCCCAGAGCCCGCCTGAGGCTCAGGTAACCAAGGCTGGCCGAGGCTTGTGCTGCTGGCAGTGGCAGCAGCAGTGGTGTGATGGGGCATCACCTTTCGCTGATCTCGGGTCGCCTCCCACCCCTGAGAGCTCCCAGACTGTGAGAGGGGGCCGGCCGAGCTGAGGGACCTCCTTCCTCCAGTGCATGAATTTTCATGCACCGGGCCTCTAGTAATTAGATAAGCCAGTAGTGAAGATAAAATGGAATCATTAAAAAAATTCAATTCAAAAGAAAGAACAAGAAAGACAAAGCAACAAAGAACAGGTGGGACAAGTCAAAATCCAAGAAGTATATGAGAGATTTAAAAGTCCCATGTTCATAAATTCATTACATGTTTGTTTTCTATAGGGAATATATCAAATAACCTTCAACCTAGTGGTTTAAAAGAGCTCCTGTTTACAGCTCATGGTTAGAAGAATCTCATCTCTTTTAAGGACTCACCTGCTTAGATCAGGCTCACTGAGGACAGCGTCCCTAATAGAACAGTACAGCCCAATAATGACAGTGATATCCCATTATATTTGCAGGTTCCTCCCATTCAAAGGGGGAGGATTTATACACGGATGCAAATCATTGCGGATCGCTTTAAAATTCTGCCTATCACCAAATGTCAGTGACTTATTTACTCCAGTGAAAGGCAGAGACTGTTAGTTTGCATAAAAAAGCTAGACCCAACTATATGTTTAAATTTTTGAAATTAAGGACTTTGAAAGAAAGGGTAGTGATAGCTACAGAATTTGTGAGAGGAAAATATCTATAGCAAGGTATTTTTCTTGTAAACTATAGAGACTTTTGAATAGTACTATGATGCCCGTCCCTTCTGATTTCACTTAAATGCGTATCCTTGAAAGGCTACCTAATGTAACTTTATGACATATTAATAAATGAACAAAGCAATAGAGGGAGTTTGTTATGTTTGGGTTCTGGTAAATTTTTTTTATTTCCTTGTTCTGTTAATTTTTAATCTAATTTAATTATTTTAGAAACTGTTGTAAATAATGCAAATTAAGAGTTTGACTTCATTCCTTAGGACATGAATGGCAAGATGAGTTTTCTCGTATCATGGCAATGACAGACCCGGCCTTTGGATCTTCAGGAAGACCAATGCTGGTTTTGTCTTGTATTTCTCAGGCAAATGTGAAAAGAATGCCCTGTTTTTATGTGGCGCATGAGCTGGGTCTGAAACATCTAAACCACCCATGGATGGTAAGGTCCTATCTTCTCTGGTGAGAAACATACTATTTTATTTTTCAGTTTTTTATTTGATTTTACTGTTTACTACTCATTCTCTTTAATGAAATAGAACAGTATTCCAAAGTTAGTTTTAATAGCTTAACTGATGTGAGATTTTTTTGGTTGGTGTCAATAGTCTCAACTGATCATTTGTTCCTACTTGTCTCCTGTCATGGATACAATGAATAGTAATTGGGGAATTATTTATTTTTTTAGATGCCATTATCTTGGTGTGTTTTTTTGTTTGTTTTCAGCATTATGCTTTAAGGACCATCAGAAGTATATATGCCATCTTAGAGTTTCTCGCTCTCCAAAATTTATTTATTTATTTATTTATTTATTTATTTATTTATTTATTTAAATATATTTTATTGATTTTGTACAGAGAGGAAGTGAGAGAGATAGAGAGTTAGAAACATCGATGAGAGAGAGTCATCGATCAGCTGCCTCTTGCACACCCCCTACTGGGGGGGATGTGCCTGCAACCAAGGTACATGCCCTTGACCGGAATCGAACCCGGGTCCCTTCAGTCCCCAAGCCGACGCTCTTTCCATTGAGCCAAACCGGTCTCGGCTCCAAAATTTATTTTAATCATGGAATCTTTTCATCGAATGAAACCTTACATGAAAGTCCCTAAGTCAAGCTGGACGCAAGTTTGACGTGCTTGCCCTAAGTAAAATAAAGGAAAATTAATATTGGAAATGCTTTTGCTGAAGAATTTAGCAAAATTTCTCCCCCGTCCCTTCCAAGGAGCTCTGGTATCTGGAACACAATTTGAAAGCTACTAACACAGGTGTACTTTCTAAGTGGGGCTTTGACTTACTACTAGGAGCAGCGGCAGTCTTAAAGACATGTTTTTGCAACAAGACATCACATTTGTCAGTTGACAAGCTGGGTTCATTCAAAAATGTTTTTATTTTCAAAGTGGGTCTTTTGGGAGAATTATTTTTCTAATACATACTAACAACTCAAGGAAATGGTAGATCTTTCTATCTCCAATTTACCAATAAGCCTGATACTGGTAAATTAAAAGATATGAGATCATATTCTTATCTAACCTGTCTAGAAGACAATACTTGAATGATTCATCCAAAGTTTATTGGGATCTGTTTAGTCCTTTTTTTTTTTTGGTGTCTAGAAAAATGTCCGTCATCATTGTAAGATGTTGGAGATGTTGGACTCAGTTTCTTTTTTTAAAAAAATATATTTTATTGATTTTCTACAGAGAGGAGGAGAGAGGGATAGAGAGCTAGAACCATTGATGAGAGAGAAACATCAACCAGCTGCCTCTTGCACACCCCCTACCAGGGATGCGCCTGCAACCAATGTACATGCCCTTGACCAGAATCGAACCTGGGACCTTTCAGTCCGCAGACCGACACTCTACCCCTGAGCCAAACCGGTTTTGGCTGGACTCAGTTTCTTACTGATTATGGTCTCTCTTGTTTGCTCCTAGGTGCAGGACACAGAGGCTGAAACTCTGGCGGGTTTTTTGAATGGTATTCATTGGATTCTTGAAGAAGTCGAATCTAAACATGCGAGATGATCCTTGTTTTAGACCTTGGGAACTGAAACCATTTGAAACTTGCTGCTGAGGTCATGATGTGAATATTTGCTCCATCAGCTCATTTTGTCCTGCCTTTGTGCAGATGGGCTTTATATTGGACAGCTGAAGCTGCATATTTTTAATATAATTTTTGCTTTTTACCTTAAATCAATTATAAGAAAAAGTTAATTATAAGTGCAAGCATTTAGCCCCAAAATAAACCTTGTAAGATTTTTTTTTGATAATTTTTATACTTTCTGTCTTCTTAAAAATATTAAATTCTGGAAAAAAAAACAAGTTTGTGCATTTCTCATTCCTTGTGGATTCTGGTCTTTTCGGTTTCCCTAGTGGGGAATAACGTATTTGGTAAGCTTTCTATAAGCTTTGTGTAGGTCCTTTTCAAAGGTTCTTAATGGATTATCAAGAAGTGAGCTTTTGTCTATTTTTAATGAATATACTGCCTAAAGACTGGACTATTCTGGAATTGCATTTAATATTATAGCTATACAACTTGCATTTTCTGAAACAGTGGAAATTAACTCTATATCATATTTAATATTAATTCAGTGAAAATAACTTTTCCTGAAAGTTCTTGTTATTTTCAAATAGCTGAAAGTTCAGTTCATCTCTAGATGTAATGCCAGAAGGGTTCTGAAACATAAGTGCTGGACAAATCAATAAGATATTTTTCTGCTTTTCAGGTCTGTCCTGTCTTTACCAAAATTCCTCTGGGGGAGAATTGTTGAACACAATTTTTTTTTCCCACATCTGGAGTTCTATTTACAATCCATTATACCAGTTATATTGTCATTAAAAGCTTCCAAGTATTTTTCTCATCCCACCAAAATCTGTCTTCCTATGCCAGGCCTGTTCTTCCACCCACAGATTCCCAGGATAGGTGATTGGTTCTATAAAAACAATATAGTTCTTAAATAGTTTCTCATTGGAATTTGGTTTAGTTAGACTTCTTTGTATCTACTGGTATTTGATGGCCTAACGCAAGCATGTCAAACTCAAAGGCTGAGGCCAAATGAGACATGTGGCCCATGGGCCGCGAGTTTGACATGCTTGGCCTAGAGTATAACCATTGTATCTTGTGTTTTCCTGTTGTAGTAAATGGCTAATAAGGCCCAGTGGCCCAGCCTCCCTGATCACCTGAGCTGGGTGGATTGTGTGCACCCTCTTGTAATGGAACCTCCATTGCTGTCAATGGAAGGGAATAATTTTTTTTATAACTTTCTATGTTCTATCTGAGAGTAAAACAGTAGTTTTTACAGTGTCTTTAACACAGAATATCCTAGATCACAATATTTATTAAAACATTTGCAGCCCTAACCGGTTTGGCTCAGTGGCTAGAGCATCAGCCTGCAGACTCGAGGGTCCCAGATTCAATTCCAGTCAAGGGCATGTACCTTGGTTGCAAGCACATATCCAGTAGGGGGTATTCAGGAGGCCGCTGATCGATATTTCTTTCTCATTGATGTTTCTGACTATCTTGCTCCCTTCCTCTCGGTAAAAAATCAATAATATATATATATAAAAAAACATTTGCAGCATTATGTTTACACACAGTAGTTGAATCATTTATTTATTGATGATCATTATATATTGATTTTTCCCCATGATTTTCATTATTATTTCATTCTTACTATATATTGTGATGGCTTTTTACTGCCTTTTTTTTTTTTAAATATATATATATATATATATATATATATATATATATATATATATATATATATATAGATTGTGTGTGCCTTCATATTCTTTGACCCTTGTAATAAGTCCTAAACAAATTTAGGATTGTAACATATCCTTGCTACAGTCTCAACAGATTCAGTTTTCTATAGTTCAGATCTTCTGTGGTTTTCTTTCCTGAACTTGTGTATAAAAAATTCATAGCTGAGACATTAAGTGCATGGACCCTAAAACCAGATTGGTCTGGGTTCAAATCCTAACTTTGTGTGATCTTGGGCATTTTTATGGTTCCTATTTTTAAAAAAATTTTTTAATTAAAGTTCTCACTGAGTTCATTGAGCATCCTTATAACCAGTGTTTTGAACTCTGCATCTGGTAATTGTCTCCATTTTGTGTTTTTCTGGAGTTTTGTTCTGTTCTTTTGTTGGGACATGTTTCTTTCTCCTCTTTCCGCGGCCTCCTTGTGTTTGTTTGTGTGAATCAGGTAGAGCTGCTGCGTCTTCCAGTCTTGGTAGAGGGGCTTTCTGTAGTAAATGGCCAGTAAGGCCCAGTGGCCCAGCCTCCCTGATCACCGGAGCTGGGTGCTTCAGGTGCACCCACAGGGTGGATTGTGTGCACCCGCTAGTTGTAGTGGAGCCTCCGTTGCTGTCAGTGGAAGGGAATTTGCCCCCAGGCCAATTGGCTGTGCGGATGGGCAGTGATTACAGCAGAGGATCAGCTGAGCAGGGGCCAACACCACGCACTTGCACTAAGATGGTGCTTCGGTGCAGTCTGAAACTGTCCACCAGGTATGCTGGCTCTGGGACCTCCCAGGGGATGCAAGCCAAGGTCAGCTGCCACCTGTCCCCTGCCAGGGGTCCCCCAAATTAGAGCTACAGTGATCTGCAGATGGCTGTACTTTTGCTGGGCTAGGAGGTGTCCACCAGAGACCAAGCTGTGAATCAAAGCTGGGCCTGGGGCCACTTAGCAAGAGGTATGGGGCATGCTGAAGCCAGAGGCTGCTGCTTTGTGGTTTGTGAACTTTGAGAGATTTTAGAAAGGTCTGTAGCAAGAGTCAAGACAGGCTGTTTGTATGAAAAAGCCACAGGTAATGGCTTGGGTGGGGCCAGGTGATTTTTAATCACCACGTGTGTGGGGCCAGTTGGTTCTGAGTTTCCGCTCCTCTGACCAGTCTCCTTGTGGCTTCTTTAAATTCCTGGTTCTAGGACTTCTCTTCAGCTAGAATTCAGGTGGTTCGGAATGATGGTTGTTTTGTAGCTTAGTTGTAATTTTGATGTGGTTGTGGGAGGAGGCCGAATATTGCATTTGCCTACACTGCCATCTTGACAGGGACCCTTTTTATTCTATTTTGTTTAGGTTTATTGTGCCTTTTTAATTTCCTTTGTTGGGAATTTAATTGTTGTTGTTCTTCCATTTTATTAAAAATGAAAGTATTTCAGCTGTGAATTTTCTTCTGACCACTGCTCTTATTGTATTCCACAGATTCTTTAATATAGTGTGTTTGTTAGCATATTTCTTTAGACATTCTAAAGTTTTCATTCTTTTCCAAAGGATTGTTTCAAAGAAAGTTTTACATTTAAAATATATATTATATATTATTGATATTTTACCGAAAGGAAGGTAGAGGGACAGAGAGCTAGAAACATCAATAAGAGAGAAAAATTGATCAGCTGCCTCCTGCACACTCCTACTGGGGATGTGCCTGCAATCAAGGTACATGTCCTTGACCGAATTGAACCTGGAACCCTAGAGTCCACAGGCCAACACTGTATCCACTGAGCCAAATCGGTTAGGGCTACATCTTCCTGTTTTATGTTCATTTTTATTTTAAACTTTTGAATCTATTCTTTGAGATTTTTTTCACACCTGCAAATGCTTGTTTTAGCATATTTAATTTAGATTGGCATATTTTGTTACAGTTTTTCTCTGCTTTGTGGTAGATTTGGGGGGAAATTTTCATCTGAAATATTTTGCTTTTCACTTTCTGATTTTTGCTATAATATCTTAGTGTGAATGTTGTATTTTGTTTTCTGTTAATTGTGGAATATATTTTCCTAGGCCAGCAATAACAGCTATATATATGTAGAAAAAGATTGATAGCTTATTAGCTTTCTTGGCTCCCGAGTGCCCTCTTCTGTTGGAATAGTAAAGTGCAGGTTTTTCAACCAGTGTCTACATTCTTTGGGGTCACACACAGGAGGATAACAATGTCTTATTGTTGGGTGAGGCCTGGATGAGGCTGGTGGACCTATCGGGAAATGTCTTTTGTGTGAAGTGTATCATTGGGCATGTGGAGGTATTATTGATTTGAGAAAATGCTAAGTAACTGATTTACTATCTGAAAAGGGATTTACTATTGGGGAAAGGGAGGGAAGAAGAGACTGAACATAAACTGTGCACCTATGGATGAGGACAATGGGGGATGGGGAGGGTGGGGAGGGAACCTGGTGGAGGGGGGAAGAAATGAGGAACCTTTGTAATAATATGAACAATAAAGATTGATTTAAAAAAATAAAAAATTAAAATTAAAAAAAAGGCTCAGAAAAAAAACACAAAAAAAACCCACAATGTCTTATTGAGGTTTCAATGTAGAACCTCCTACCACTTATTTTCTTCTTTTCCCTCACCCCCCAAATCCGTGGCAACCCTTCTTCAAAGTCATTCCCTTCCAAGTCTTTCCCATTCTTCCAGAGCAGGGGTACACCCCCAAACGATCGCCTGCACTTTCAGGATTCCCCCGGTCAGTTCCCCACAGGCGGCACTCTGAACATCCAGATAGGAGATTTATTCTCAACATCTCTGCCCTTAGGGTGGGACTCCATCTTTGGGAAAATGACTCTTTGTATTCCACACCTTAAGTGTCCGCTGACTGTTCTATGGGGCCTCCAGAAGTGGCTCTGCTGGTTTCTGAGTGTTTACTTTCCTAGTTATATGGAAACAGAAGCATCATCCTGTGTTAGTCATGCCGTGCTAAACTTTGGTGGTGGCTATTGGGGGAAAATAACCATATATGCAAGCAGGGATTATTAGTGGTTTCATTTCAGTTTCGCTGATCTATTTAGAATTCAGAAGACATGGAGATTCTGATTTAGGTGGCCCCATTATTCCGTGGGAGTCCAAAATCAGATATTTTATTATTTATTTACTTATAAATATATTTTTATTAATTTCAGAGAGGAAGGGAGAGGGAGAAAGAAACATTCATGATGAGAAAGAATCATTGATTGGCTGCCACCTGCATGGCCACCTACTGGGAACTGAGCCCACAACCCAGGTATGTGCCCTTGACCAGAATCAAACCC